TGCTACTCCTACTGCTACTGCTTCTGTTACAATGTTCTTTTCGCACAACTAAGACTACCAGCGTTAGATATGCTCCTGACTTGACCCCTCAGCTGTCGAGCTCTCCATGAACAGGCGCTTGCTTCTGGGGTCTAATGTACTGGCTCTTCTTCAAGGCCTCGCCTGCTTGCTTTTCGTGGTGCTCTGCGTGCAGCAAGGCACTTTACTTTGAAGGATTGGGGTCGAAAGCTAGGGCTGAATGTCAGGATGCAGCCGCCGGCCGTTTCCACATCATGCTATCTGGGGTTGCAAACGATACCTGCCGGATCGTCCTTCCCAAAGCTGTGCCGTTATGCTTCTTCCAGGCCGTCGCACACATCACCAAGCTGGTAGAGGCGGCTCTAGGGAGTCGGGGTCAGAATGTTGAACTGCCAAGAACAAAGCCCGCTAGCTGGTTCTACGGTAGTTGTACATGGCCGATTGGCATGCACCCGGCGTGAGGCGCATGGCTGCTTAAGATTTGCTGATGCTGCCCATCGCAAAAGCCTCTAACTGGCTGCTGGTGTTTTCTACTTGTTTGTCTCTTCAGATCTCCCTTTCCGTGCATCTGTTTCTCTTTGTCTCTTACTCGCGGTCTTCTCCCCTTTACCTGACCTTATCTCTCTGTCTGTCCATCGCCGCATCACTCGACCTCTGCGTCTCGATTGTTGTTTCATCCGCTCGCCTCATCTCTCTGTCTCCAAATTACCCTCGCCATGCCTGAGTTACTTTACTCCCAATCCAATTTCATGCGTCATGGCCCCCACAAGAGGCCATCCCTGAGTTGGAGATTGGCAGCTTCTTGGCCTTGAGCTCCTTGGTCTCAACATTAAGGCCTAAAGAGAGAATTACAACCCTGGGATGTCGGAACGTGGGATGTGTGAGCAACGAAGAACTATATCATGTTATACATATGCTACGTATGTTTTGAGCACTATACTCTGGGCCTTGCCCCCTGTTTCCAAGCTTTCGCCTATTTCGGGCCGCTCGGTCCCGACGTCGGGTGGCAGTTTAGGCACTCGACGAGCCTTACTACAGTACTTCTTACTATGGTATAGTATAGTACAGTATAGCATAGTATAGTACAGCGTTAGATCATATTGATATTTAACCTACAGCATGCACTAGATATTATTCATATGTGGTATACAGTTTATGATATGTAACATTGGTATATGACATATTGTACAAGCTGCCCCTCCTGAAAATATTCCATTCTGTGGGAACATGTACCCCAGCAGCAAAAGCATAAACTTCATATCGAAGACTCGATTGTGCCATATACTTCTTACACCAACTTAAACCGCCAACCAGCTATCATCCCCACCCGAACTCTGGTGTTTAAGGCATGCGCTCGCCAATGCTTGCTTTTCATGCATCGACAGAAGATTCGATGTGCCGGCATGGGTGGTTTTGAAGCTTGTCGGCTTGTGTCAAAAGCTGCTTTCCGCGAGTGGAAAGATGACTTCGGCTTTGGTAGAAATCATTTGTTTGAATGCTTTCCGAAATCTCTTGAAACGTTTATGCTTAGTTCAGTGACAATTAAAGCAGCATTTGCAGCAGATGAACATACAAGAGATGTGAGAACACAATGCGGTATGATGGAAGAGTTCATCCTGCGGCATGAGCTATAGAACCGTGGTTTGCCATGTAGAAGGATGGGGTTCCAAGTACGTGCCGGGAAGCCTCTCCGGAATGTTAACCCTGAACCCTCTCAAACGAATCCACAAACATGAACCTTAGTTACATCAACCGGTGCAAACAAGTATTCATACGATACTATACTATACTATACTATACTATACTATACCACGCTATACCAAACTATACTGTGCTATACTATACTGTACGGTCGGCCTCGGAGGTCTCATCCCGCTCCTCTTGGTTCGGAGCTTCAGCTGCATTGGACCTTTGATGGAGCTGCAAGCGGCGCTCGGTCACAATTCCCGATGGCATGGAACATGCGCAGTGCCGTTCTAGGAGAGATGAGCAAGGAGATGTGCATTTGTGTCGCACTTCCCAGGGGGGATGGGATGGCAAACTAGGCACTCCTTTCCGTTGCCGAGCTTTCGAGCATTGAGCATGTAGAGAAATGGCTTTGAAAGACATCTACTACTACTTCGCAAGTTAAGCGTCTCAGCCGATGAGGAGCTATCTTTACCGAGTTTTCAGAGCCATCCAGTGGTGCCTCTAAGAAGGCACTGACTAGGCCGTGCCTTGATCTCGCCATAGCATGTGCTTGGGCCATGAGCGTCCGGCCGATCAGCGACGACCGGTTTGCAGTTGTCATCAAGAAGAACACATCTCAAGATACCGAGTCTTGGATTTCAGAACTGATCTCGCATATTGAAGCAAGGAGTGCTGCTTCACATTTCATCGGGTTAGCCAGTGTTGCTTGTCAAGGAAAGCTTCGGCTTTGCTATGCTGACCAGCACCTTGATCGGCGTCAGCAGTTGTGTGGCCTTCTACTTCTTGCGGCAGCGGTATCCGATGGTCTACGAGGGCAGCACCTCGCACTTGCCCCAGTCCGTACTCGTACGATCGGGAGGCCGAGGTGGAAATGGCCCTGGTGGGAGGGGTGTCTGAGGTCAAAGGGCGAACTGCCGGCTCAAGCTTTCGGCTTCTTCGGGTGGCTTCGAACCAGTGTCTCCTACAGGCCAGACCTGGGGCAAAGCGTAGAATTACCAGACAATGCCAGAGCAGCGCAGGTTTGACGACGTCATTGATCACGTTGGAATGGACCAAATCATGCTGCTGGAGTTTACCCATCTGAGCATGAAGGCTCCTACTGTCGGCGGATAGCTGGGGGAGGTGACGAAAGATCTACTTGGTAAGACTTCCGGTGAAGAAGGCATGTTGTAGCTTGTACTTGTATGTACCTCTAAACCCTAAACCCTAAACCCCTAACTAAACCCTAAACCCACAGAGGTGATGTTTGGCATCGGCATTCCAGCTTTGATGGTGCTGGCGCCCCTGCACGCGCGCTCCGGCGGCTCAGACGACGACCTGAGCCGGATCGGAGCCTCGCTCGAGCATTCTGGGTTTAGGGTTTAGGGTTTAGGGTTTAGGGTTTAGGGTTTAGGGGACTCCTTATCAATAAGAACAATAGTGGCTGAAATTGAAAATGACAGAGATACTGCTGATAGCAGTAATTATAGTAATTAGCCATCATGACAACGAAGACAAAAACCCAGTAGCACTAGTAGAAAGAGAGCAAAAGTACTGATAGTGGTAATAGCAATCCTCAAGTAACGATAGTATCAATTATCATAATCAGACTAGGTGCAGTACCACTAATCCGGAATACGACGTTTAAGAGCGTAATCAAGGCTTCTCTCCTTCGGGGGAGCCTCGAGCCGCTGATGAAGACAAGCATTGAAAATCAAGGGTGGGTGAGTACTTTACATGCTCTCAGGTTTGAGCAACCTCGATGCAGAAACCTGGATACTTTGGGTCCATGCCGCCTTCGTTTGGTATGTGGTGCTGCTTGTGCTATGCCTGGCCCTGTGCTCAGCATGCTGTCGCTGCAACATCACCGTTCATCGTCTCTCTGTGTAAGGTGTACCGCGCGCAGCATCGAAAGTTCCGGCCCAGACGGAGTCGCTCCGAGCTCAGCGGCGTAGCGTTTTGATTTTGGAATCTCCAGCAGCAAGAGGAAGAGTGATTGGAGCTTGTCGACCCTTGCGGCAATGCCTGTGTTGATGCTGACATTCATGTTCACGATCGTGCTAGCATCCAAAGCCAAAATCATGTCGGCAAAGCCCGAAAGGATAGCACTTTAGGCAGCAGCATGAGCAACAGCAGTGATAACGGCTTATTTCAGTCACACTATACACCTGCCAGTACGAGTAGCAACCGTTCATCATCGTCAACATCATCATCGTCATCGTCATCATCATTCTCATCATCATCATCATCATCATCATCATCATCACTGTCATCAGCATCACCGGCAACAATGCGAATGATATTGCTAATAGTAGTACTGATATCTGTACTATCTGTTATCAGTAATATTGATAACAGCAATATCTCTACTCTTAAGAAGAAGAGGAAATGGTAATCGGCACAACAATGAAGAAACACCCGTTGTTGCACACAAGGCTGGCTCTCCAATATGCCAGAGGCAAGAGCCACCACACGGCTGGTGGAAGGCAGCATCCTGTACTGGTCACATTCGGGTGAAGAAGCATCTTCATGGTAGGCATCCCTGAGCAACTCCGCACCGACGCTGCCATGGCCGTCCGGCCTTATTAGAGAGGTAGCTCGTGTCTCCCAGTATTTGTTCTGCGCAGCTGAGGCGAGGTTCTTCGATCAGATCTTCGGGCAGCCTGTGGTCAAGGACGTCGTCTTCGTGCGGGACACGTCCTCGCTGCTGCCGCTCATCGAGGCGGCTAATCATCTGTCCATAAGGTTCAACAACTCGGACAGATGCCTCCCTTCGTCAGGCACGAGACATGCTGTCGGAAGAGCTGGCGCAGGCTGGACGCACACAGCATCAGCGCTTGAACAGTCGCCTTTCAAGAAAGTGCTTCGCCCCCGCCCTGGCTGCCTCATGCTTTAGCTTGGCTGGAGTGTATGCCTTGCTTCTCTGGCAAGACGATTCCGATGCTGCTGGGCGACCTTTCTTCCCAGAATGTTCAGTCCATGCTGTTACAGTAGCAGCAACACTGCACTGGAAGCTATTCTGCAGGAGATTTTGCTGTTGTGGCCGCTCGTTTGCTGCTGCCGCTGTTGTTGTGCCGGTCTTTGCCGCTGCTGTAGCGGGTATTGTCGCGGTCCTCGTCGTCGCCTTCGACTGTTGATATACTTGATTCTTCTTGGAGCTGTCGAAGCTGTTCTTAGTAGTCTTGCTGGCAAAATCGGCTTCATTTTGTCAATCCATTGTCCATTTGCAGGTCGGTTTGCAATATGCTGCCTCACACGAAGCTGGCGAGGTGCCTTTGCAGCCCTAGCCTTCCCTGAATTGTCTGGGACTGAACTTGAGGTTCCGGGTTTAGGGCTTCGGGTTTGGGACTTAGGGTTTAGGGCTAGTGTTGCCAGGAAAGCTTGGAAAGCAAGCTGTTGTTGTCGCCAACACGTCACTGCAAGGCAGCATCGCCTCGACGATTGCAAACCTTGGAGAGGACCCTTCTTCGCTCACGCAGTGCGACTGAAGCCAAGCCGGGGCTTTTCTCCAGGCGATACAACCGGTCCTCGGCTGCCGCCGAGGAGATGGCCACCAGGGTGTTCAGCCTTTGTCCCAGGTACTGCAACGACTTGCATCCTTGTTGAATGGCTGTGTCGTCAGACGGAAGGTTGCCAGTCTTTCGCGAGCGATGCGGCTTTTGTAACCTTCCGCGACCGCCGCCATGCCGAGTTTGCGAGAGGTCTGCGATACAGTGAAAGTCTGCCGGCTGCAGTCAACACTTGTCGACATGTTCCAAGTGCAGATGTCAAGCGTGCTTCTCGAAGCGTTCCGGGCTTCCCTGCAAGAGACGGCTGCGTTGGTCCAGGTCGCGGCCACTTCGCGGTCTCCTTGGCTCCGGAGCCATTCGATGTGCACTTCGCCTCATTCACGCGCTCGTCGGCCAGTGTCGCAAAAGGCAGTGCGCTCATTGGGCGCTTGCTAGTGCCTTGGCTAATTTCGGTTTGACGGCGTGGGGCATGGTTTGGCGAGGTTTCTGGAACGGAACATGGCAGAGATGACTGAGGTGGCTTGCGTGTTTTTCTTTTTCCTGCCGGTCGTGAGTCTTGGCTTCAAGTCATCTTTTGGCCATGGCGGCGCAGCAAGGGCTGCCAAGATGCGAGCAAATGTTGCAGTGTCATCGAACCGAGCTTCATGAGGATTGGTATTTCGTCCTTGCTGAGCGTAGATTCCCTGACGCACCTGGTGCCGAAGCTCGAGGCGCCACAGTTCAGCTAGCAGCTGGAAACCTTGTTGGCAAGCTGAGCTAGACTGACAGGAGCATGCAGGTAAGGTGCTTTGCAAAGCATGCGCCGTTGTCAGAGAAGCCTGTAATGGAAAGAGTCTGAAGACAATTCGATACTCTGTCTGTTCAACACCCAGAAGATCCCAGAAGAAACCAAGCGGGCCTAAGCCGCATCAAGGGACCCGGCTTTATGAAGGGACTTGTGTGCTGACAAGTCAAATTCGGCGGGGACCATGTTTGCCGCTCGCGGTGCAGGTCTGGTCCAGGGAGTACCAGTACATCACCACAGCTTGGGAGGCCCTGCAGCCACCTCAGATCTGAGTGTCGGCATCTTGCAATCTTGGATCCCAAGCTCGCGCTTCTCTGCTAGCATTCACACCCTCACGTGCTATCCTGAATTGTTCAACAACGCGGCGAGGTTGGGCACAAGCCTCCTCTCCATGCTGATGGACCTTGTGCCCTGGATGCTCTCGGAGGCACATCATTCAATTTGTGTCATGGCTTCCCAGGTATGCATCTTCTAGCACAGGGTTTGCTGACTGCTTGCCAGCTTCCTTGTTGTTTGGTCAGTGTGGAGCAGGTCTTTTCGAGGTTTTATCGCCTACGGTCTGGTTCAAAAGGCCAGCACAAGATCCAGATACTTGCCCGCAGTTTGTTGACCTTTGCTCTAGCCGCTAGCCCAAAGGCATGAAAGAATTCGCTATGCCCCAGCGAGGCGGTGGTACTTCTTCTTCCTGGAGCCTCGGCTTTCGGCCCTCTCTAATTCTTTGATGCCGAGAGCTGTTTCAGGCGGGTGCGATGCTGTTTTGCTTGAGGTGGTGTTCGTGCTGCTGGTCACCGCCGTTGGCACGTCACTCTTCGAAGCAGCAGCGCGCCTGGCACAGGAGCCGCTGAAGGTGCAACTGCCTTAGGGCCTCAGGGACCTTTGGCAGGAACTTCCTGCGCCGAAATGATCTTTCACAATGATTCATGAGCGCCTGGTGCAGGTCTGGTATCTGCTTGCAGACCAGCTTCCCGACTCCACGAATTTCTACCTCCGGTATGCCGTCCTTCTATGGAGCACTCCCTTCTTCGACCTTGTTCGCTGCACGGACCTTAAACAAGCTATGGAGTTTGTCACAACATTTGTCATACTACCTTGAATCTTCAACGCACACTCGTGCATTCCCGAGGCTTTCCACTACTCTATTTCTGGAAGGCCCTGCAGGCGGGTGAGTCGCTTGCCTTATTCGGTCAGACATTGCAATGGTAGCAGTAGTCGTCGTTGTCGTAGTAATCCCTTCCCCCTAATATTAAACGCGCCCCCCCCCCCCCCCC